TACGTGTTCCTTTTGCAGCTGCTCAATGCTTGATTTCTCATTTGATTGCTCTGAGGATTTCGATATAAATGCTTTTGAAGACATCCTTGCTTTTTATGAAAACAAGAAGTAAGTAGAAGTGAGAAGACTTTGTAGTTGAAGACCAGGGAGGCACATTCCTGGGCAGATGCATCTTCTGAGCATGGTCAGGGCAGAAATCAAGCCTTAGAGAGCATTACATATCATAAAATAACTGGTTCATATCAAATTGGACAGTTTCAGCCAAGTGCAAATTAAGTCCCTATTGAACTTTTAGTAGGCCATTAAAACTGTCAGCCATAATATCACTCATTTTCTTTAGCTACTTCAATGAAAAAAAAGTTAGCAGCTTTCTCAAAAAGAACTCTCAAAGGAACTAGCTACAGTAAATGAATATCTTTTTAAAATGTGTAAAAATATTTGGTGGTACCTCACTGAGGTGCTTAGAATGGCGATGGCATTTTATGGTCAGAAGTGACTTCTTACACTTCTGTTCTATTTTTGGTTTGTGCCTCTCTGGAAAGCAAAGAAGGTAAGTTTTTTGCCAAGTTGTGCCACACCCTACCCAGCATGGTGCATGGTTAAACAGATTGATTCAGCCACTAATTAGAGACCATCCCAGGCTGACTTTTAAATGCTAAACATGAGTTTTAAAAAATAACTTGAACTGGAAATGGGAGAAGTAGAACTTCTTTTTGATTCATTTTCAAGTTCTCCTGCAACATTTAGGTTTCTGATCAACTTTCTAATGAGACTGTGCAATGTAGGGATGTAAAATCCCATTTCATTGGTTAACTGGCTAAACATGTTTAACTGATTAACAGATTAAAAGGGGGTGGGGAGGAGGCCAGGGCTGCCATGAACAGGGCCCCCACAGGGCTGGAGCAGCCTCCTGTCCGTGGCAGATAGGGGGCTGCTCCAGCCCCTAAAAATAGCTCCTTGGCACATGCTAAGCCATTTAAAACATATTTCTCTACAAGGGAGCAATTCCTACTTTGGGGTCTTTTTGCTTGTGAGCTCCTAGCTATTTGTTTGCATGCTATTTTCCTTGGACCTCTCATTAAGGGCTCGCTGACTGTGTTGACTTCTGATGGTGAAAGGCTGTGATCCTCATTGCACTCATAAGTGATGACCCGAAAGCGTACATCACATAGACAGTAGTCCTTGAAAATAACTTGACTCTTTATCCTGATGTTTAAAATGTGGGGACACTAATTGATAAGTCAGTCCAGCACATTTTCTTCCAGAAATGTTCATGTTTAGGAAAAAGTAGCCTGGGATGCACCTGCTGTTGTTTAAAGCATATGGGTGATGGGACTTTTTTATCTCCTTTTCTCCTTCGTGACTGTCTTTGACTGTGGCTGTGGATCATTTAGACTTAGAGACTTGCATGATGAAATCATCAAGAGTATAAAAGGCCTTCCCTGGCAGGGTGAAGATCCCTGCAAGCTCCTTCGGTATCTCAGCCGACTTCAGCAATTCCAGTGAGTTTTGGTGCTGTGGGTATTGCTTTGCAAGTGCGACAATAACAACGCATCAGAGGGGAAGCCAAGGTAGTCTGTAACTGGAAAAACGTAAACAACAAACAGTCCTGCATCACCGTAGTTTTTAAAGTGTTGCAAGACTATTCCTTGTGTGTTAAGTTCTTCCAATAACCAAGCAGTCATTGCAGCCCAGAATAAAATGGTTATTTTTGTGACAATACAGCAAGCCTCTCTAAACATTAATTTAAACCAAATTGAAATTGTGAGCAAAAACTTCCTCTGTAAAGTGCGCTCCCAGTAGTGGCTGTGGAGAATGTTAATTTACTTCCTTTGCTCTAGCTCAGAGGTGGCAAACCCGCAGCTCGTGAGCCACATGCGGCTCTTCACCCTTGAAAGTGCGGCTCACGAAGCCTCCCCGATAACTCATGAAGCTGCCCCATGTGCCCTTACTATGCTCACCAGGTGCCGGGGAGCCATCTGGCACAGCAAAATGGTACCGTCAAGATAGTGGTGGCCGACAGCAGCCTGATGTGGCCAGAAAGCCTGCTTGTGGCTTTTAAAGGGGCAGCGCTCCCTTTTTTTCCTCAACAATTTTGGTGCGGCTCTTTGCTGTTTTTCGGCTCTCTTCATTTAATGGATTGGCCAACCCTGCTCTAGCTAATGCTAAATTCTGCTTTTGATGCCAGCTGGCTCTATGCCCCAAGTTGTATAGAACTAATCAGTCATTGGAACACTGCAGAAAACCAAGTCTCTAACATCTAACACAATGCAGCTTGTATAATGGGGGGTGCTGAGTGTCATTGAACAAAACTGTAGACCCTATTTATGATAGAAACCAAACCAGAGGGTGCAGCAGCACCCTCGGTTCCAGCACCTCTGGACATAAGCAAATATCCATAAATAGTTTCCCAAAGTGCAGGACATAGGCTAGTGATATATACATTCCTAGATCCAGTGTCTTTAACTTGCAAGCGCATATATTACAAAAATCTATAATAATAATAATGGGATATGAATTGCTTGAGACTGATCTGGGGAAGGTCTTAGACCAAAGGGTTAACACTGCAAGAATTATCAGGGAGTGAAATGCAGCCCCATTCCCAAGGGATACATTTTTCCGTTTCACCGACTCTTTCCGTTTGTTATCTTTGTGCCCTCGCCTAGGAAGTCCTGGAGATGATCGCATTAGTCAGACCTCAGAATTCCTAACTGGCATGGTAGGGCATGTGCTGTCCAGATGTGAGCAGCTCCATACTCTTAAAGTGCTGTTGGGACCAGTAGCCTTTTGGTGGTGCAGATCTGATAAGGAGCCTTCAATCACTGCACAAGACTAATAGCATGTGTTTTGATTTGAGAGGGTTGTTTTTTTTTAAAGCAAATACAGCATATGAAGCTATTCATGTTTCTCTAACACCTGTGAATTATATGTGTAGACATACATATTTCCTTTTTGCTAATGATGCAGGTATTGGAAATGGTGAGGAGGCTGTTTTGCCAAAGTGGCTTGCATTCCCTACATTGATACTCCTGTATATGCATGACTATCTCCTGAAACTGTACTTGTCTTAACGTGGTCTAATTTGCAAGGTGTGGCTAACTTGCTAAAACAACAAAAATGACATATATATTTTTTCTTGAACAATCTTTAATATTTTAACAGGAAGAATAGAGGTACCAAACAGAAGCAGCTCATTCCTAAGGTAAATTTATTGGCACATTACAAGATGTCTTGGATTTTGCAAGTAATGAATATGCACTGTGCGTCAGGAAAGAATGTTCTAGAACAGGGGTTCCCAAACTGGGGGGGCATGAAGAAATTCCGGGGGGGAGGCACGAGGCGACCCATCCATCTGTCCCTCTCTTCCCCCCCCATCAAGTGTTGCTCCCCCGCTCAGTTCCTTTTTTGTTGTTGTTGTTGTTGCTGCTCAACAAGTTTTTTTGGGGGGGCGGAGGCCTGAGGGTTTTTCAAAAATCAGAAAGGGGGGTGTGATGCTGAAAAGTTTGCAAACCACTATTCTAGAATATAGAGGCATCTCCAGTCTCCCCTTGACATTCAAAAGAGGAGTTTGCTTTGTAGATATAGTTTGATCTTTTTATCTGAAGAGAGGCACAAATATTTCTTGAATTTTCTTTCTGTAAAGCAACGTGCATGTAACTGCAAGGCTTATGGACTATCTAAATATATGAAGAAAGCACATTTCAGTGTTCCTAGAACAATCTGAGGTAAACCTACTGAATTGTAAAGGTTTGTAGAGGTTGAACAGAGTTCATGGGATGATCTGTGGCTCAGCTGGGCAGTGGAGACTACTTGTGGATGGAACATACTTATATTGAGATACGGGACATGTATAGAACCACTCACTAGCTCACAAGGGGCAGAAGTATCAGGTGGGAGGCCGTTTGTTTTCCTTTCCTGTCTTTGAAGAGGAAATGGTTTCGGTATTTAGAAGAGGATGATTTAAGTTTAAAATAAATGTCATGAGACTCACCGGGGGCTTCAAACATTTTCCATCTAACAAGTGTGATCACGATTTAAATAGATGTAAATTGTCTGAGTGAAAACAGCAAATCTCCTCGTTCTAGAACTTGCTGGACTCCAAGTCACTGAAGCTTATAGTGAGCATGACTCTGCATGATCGGACGACAAAATCCCTCTTACACCTGCACAAAAAGAAGAAACCACCTAGCATAAGTGCACAGTTCCAGGTAAACGAGTATCTGAACTGCAGATATGTAAATTTTTCCACCTCTGCAGAGAATCAGAAACCACAACTATGGCATAGAGCATGCAGGGAGCGCACACCACCGAGGAAGAGATCTGACTTCTGGGCAGGCTCGCAATCGGGGGGAGGGGGTGCGGGTGCGCAAAGGGAGCAACTGCCCCTGGGCCTGGTGACTCAAAAGGGCCTGGGAATGCTGGCTGCTGCTGCCATGCTGCCTGAGTCTTGCTCAGTGCACTCCAGAGCCCTGGGCTGTGTGATTCTGGGGGTGCTGAGAACAGAACAGTCAGGCTCACACTTTGGGCTGGTTTCCTGAGGCCCTGCCTCTTCTGGGAGTGTGCAGCCGGCCCTTCTCTCCACCTTTCCCAGGAGCCCTGCGAGTTTGTCAGCCCCCCTTGCTTCTGGGTTATTTCCTAAATCTATTTGCAAGTTCTTTATATAGATGGTCGCCTAATTCTTGTAGCCCCTATGCAATCTCCTTATGGTCTGTCTTGTCACCAAAAAAATAGGCCCCTATGGCAGTCAGCACCCCAGGGTAGGCAGTGATAGATCAGTAATTGGCTACACAAACTCCTGGTTCTTGCCATTGTTGCAATATCACCAGGAATTAAAAGTGAAAGTGTCCTTGCTGTTCCTAGCCGAGAAAGGGAAAAACTTAACACAAGAGATGAAATGGTGTCACATAAAGCCTCCAATAGATCAATTGTGGTTTGACTAGTCATCAGACCGGAGGACACTTGTACTCAGAGGAGGAAGGTCTGCTCTTGGCAAAACACCCTCCTCCTCCTCCCAACACACATGGTGGACTAAGGACCATTGCGCCAAGCAGAATGACCTCATTTGACAGCATCTCACCAGGCATCATGCACTGGTGTTCCCAGAGGTGTCTGGGCAGTGCCAGATAGGATCAATGTGGGCACCCCTTTGCACGTTGATGGAGAGTTTGAGAGCGCAGTGTGCATGTTTTTTTGTTTTTTTGGGGGGTGGGGGTTGGTCCGTTCTGGCAACGTGGCTGAAAACCTTCAAAATAGTGAAATTCAAACAATGAGTGTATTGAATATCTTGTTGCAGAACTCCCTTAATAAACTACTGGAGACACTGGGGAAAGCTGAGCCATTTTTCATCCGCTGCATCCGCTCCAATGCCGAGAAGGTAGGTCACTCTGCCTTCCAGAGCTAAACTGTCCGATTACTGGATATGCAGATAGGGCATCCCTAGCAATGTACAGTTGTCAACATGTTAATTTTAGTTTGCATTAAGGCAGCTTACAGTTGGCATGTGTAAACGCAAACTGTGCATTCTTGTATACTTGATAAAAAATAATGCTTAGCCCTATCTTTGTTTTTTGGAGAGAACGTAATGAAAGCAAGGCAGTCTTGTGTGTTGTGGGGAAGGATTAGGGAGCATTGGTGGAGTGTGGGTATTATTTTTTATTGCAGCTTGTTCATTTATACACTGTTGACGCCAGACCTTGGAGAAAGGGCATCATATACTGCAGATAGATAACATACTTATTTAGTCCAAACACTATTGTGCAGTTCCCAGGAAGCAGCTCTGCCCCAAGAACTACTGTTAGAGAAATTAAGGCAGAGAGCAAATTTTTTCGTGCTTCCTCAAAGAACCTGCACCACAAAATTAACAACATACAGTAGAACCTCTGAGTTATGAATGCCAGTGTTACAAACTCTGGTCAATTACATACCTCATTTGGAACCGTATACAATCAGACAGCAGCAGAGGCCCCAAAAAAAGGCAAATACAGTGCAGAACTGTGTTAAATGTAAACTGCTAAAAATAAAGGGATAGTTTTAAAAAATTGACAAAATAAGGAAACTGTCTCTGTGCTTGTTTCATTTAAATTAAGATGGTTAAAGTTAAAAGCAGCATTTTTCTTCTGCATAGTAAAGTTTCAAAGCTGTTCAAAGTGAATGTTCAGTTGCAAACTTTTAAAAGAACAATATTTTGGTTCAGAGTTACAACTGACCTCCATTCCTCATGTGTTCGTAACTCTGAGGTTCTACTGTAACATTTCTTTACCGATTCTATACCACTCGCATTCTAAAAAGAACTTAAAGACTATAACAGTGCAATTTTTTGACTCCTGCCCTGACAATACTGTCTCCAGCTGTGTGGATCTGGAGGGAAGAAATATAAATACTTTGGGTGAGTAGGAGAAAAGGAGCCACTGACAGAAAATCAGTGTAAATTCTCAGTAAGAGATCTTTTCTGAGTGTAAATTGTGCCTTA